AAAGAATAAATAAAATTTAATAAATAATTATTTTTTTTAAATGAGAAAGATAAAAGTAAGTTTGGATGCTGGTCCTTGTTACAGGTTAGCCTGTAAATTACTTAAGCTCTTTAAGCTCTGTTTATGCCTATGTAAGTGAGGTTAATTATAATATTGTGAGATAGTGGTCAGCTGTTGTCTGTCCTAAACTGTGATATAGTAAAACTAAGTGTTGACTGCCTTCTTCCTTAACCTATAGTTATGTCACTTATTATGGAAATGTACCTGACTTTCTCTATCATTTTTTTCAGCTATGACACAACACCTGAGTTTAAGGAAATCTGCTTTTGAAAAAGGAGAGAACTCTTTTCCTTTGGTTGGATTCTACAGCACAGCCAATGAAGACAGAGCACTGTATTTCTTCTCATTGATCTATCACTGTCATTTCCGAGAAAGAACGGGAGACAATCCTAGACTTACAGAGGACATGTAGACATAACCGATATTCGTGATGTTCACACAGTGAAAATCATAACGATACAAAGTGGTATTGTTTACATTACTAGAAAATGATTTGTTTTCCAATGGCAATAACCCACTGAGGAGAGAGTCGGAGCCCACTGGGCAGACAGGGGCCACATCCTGTGGGAGGCAGAGAGGGTCACGCTGATTGGTGCACATTCTGGTCGCAGTAATCCATCCCTAACAGCATCATAAAGCAGGTGCCAGAGACTCTTGGCCCTGTCCTCCTGAGACAGACAGGTGGGATCTAGTCCACGTCACTGCGAGCGCGGCAGCTCGGGGCGGTGGTGGTGCTCTCAGCTCCTTTGACCGCGGTGGAGTAGGGCAAGGGTCCGTCTTCCTTCACGGAGGCATTGCCTTTGAAGGAGCTGACAGGTCCTGGGTCAAGCCTCGGTGACTTTGATGGCAATATACAATTATTGCATTGTAATTGTTCCCCAAGATGCCACATATTTAAAGCCAGTCTTCCCCCTGCTTAGAAGGGGGGCATGAATCTAGTTGACTCTGAGAATAAGCATTTGCTCCACAGTAATCCTGCGCTCCAGTTACTTAACTTTCCCTTCAGAAAACGCGAGGAGAGAAGTTAACAGTAATGATCACTCCAGTTTCCCCATTTGTACCTCAGACGAAAGGGTTATTTAATGCAGGTTGTACTATTTTTTTTTTTTAATAAGGTGGGTAGGCTGGGGTCGGGTAGGAGAGAGAAACACTCAACTTTGCGTGACCGTCTTCCCTGTTCCTTCCTGTGAGCAGGACAGTGCGCCGTTGGGGGCCTTTGTTCTGTCTTAGGACTCCGAGAGCCTCACTCGCTGCACTCTGCTCCGTCAGCTTCTGCGTCCGGACCACACAGCCATGGCAGGGCCCAGCTGGTGTGCACACCGCTCTGGCCATGCAGTACCAGTTCCGCCTCAACACACCTGACTGAGGGGAAAGAAGGTTCTTTTAGGTGTTAACTGCTTTTGCAAAAAAAAAAAAAAAGAGAGAGAAAGAGAAAGAAATATATATATATATGTATAAATACATAATTATTAATCACTTCTGTCGAGAAAGTCTTGAATGACGAGGGAATCCCATTGCAATCCTCGATTGTGTAGAGGCACACTCTGTCGTCAACAGAAGCAGCTCGAAGGCTGTGTGTAAGTTTTTGGTACCATGTACCACCTCTTGTTCTTCTAAAGCTAAAGTATTCATGTACTTAAACCACATTCTATTTCATTGTATTTGATTTTAAAATATATATATATATACATATATATGAATTATATTTAAAATCGTGTCTACTTTCTGCTTTCAGGACATTTATGGCTCTTCTGTTGAAATATGTTGATCCTTCCAATTAGTTCTATTTGCTTTACAAAGACCCAGAACACGGAGCCACCCCTGGACTTAGCCCACGTCTCGCACGTATGGCATAGACCTGAGGTTTTTATTGGGAATATGTGCTGTGACTAACTCGTTCTGTTCTTTGAACAAAATACTTTCATTCGTTTTACATCGCTTCAATCTTTAACAGAAAAGCAATATAAAGGGCATAGAATAAAATGCGTTTGGGTGACTCTTGCAGCCTCTGCATGCTTTGGAATAACAATTTCTTAAGACTCTAGGCTGTGGAAGCTACTGCTTTTGGTTAAGATCATTTTTAATAATTTCCGTGTACATTTTGTGCTTTTGAGCTAGAGATGCCAGTGGTTGTAAACTTATAAGGAGAGACTAGCAACTTTGAGACTCGATTATTTTTTCCCCTTCTGAAAAGATTAGCCAGATTTAATATTTGATCTAGAGTAGGTGCTTATACTCAGTTTAGAATTGGAATCGGATTCATCTAACATTGAACACTCTGTGTCCAGGCTCTGTGCCTGTGCCCTCAAAATAGGATTCTCTGGCAGAATTGGACAAGAAAACCTCAGAAGGTCTCCTTACAAGTCTCGCTTCATGATTTAGTGTGCTAGGTTTTGTAGGTTCGAGGGATCAGCAGAACACCTTGCAGCGTTATCATGTCATTGACATCCACAACAAGAGAAAAAAGATACTAGTGAAAAAGTGCCACTCGCTTTGTAGCTTGGTGTGTCTTCATCACTCCTGTAAGAGTTGAGGGAAATAAAAAGCAAATGTCGGCCAAATCCAGTGAGCAAAGACAGGGAGCACCTTTCTGAAAGTGTTTCTGCTTGGGTCTCCGTACCCATGACAGCTCCATCAAATGTAAGTCGCTCGGTACCGGTCAGCAGGATGTGAGGGAGGAGGTCCTTCTGAAGTGTGGGAAGTGGCAGACAACCTGCTGCTTGGCGTCAGGACTCAGAGCTAAACACCTGGGGAAGCCGCTCGCCTCTAAGGAGATGGGGACCGGTGGGGTCATGTGTGTACAGTGACCTCAGTGACCTTTCCGCTCGCCTCCCTCTCCCTCTCCCTCTCCCCCACATTCCAGCTGATCAGACCAGAGTTGAATTCCTCATCTGAATAAACCCAGGACAGTTCTTTATCGTAAGAGTTCTTCACGGAGAAAGAGACACCAGCCACCCTGAGGGACAGTAGCTTGAATGGGACCCGTAAAAAGTTAGTGGCCGGCGCTGCGGGACAAGCAGAGGCCTGAGAGCAGCTGCCTTGGTGACCTGGAGACTTTCCCTGGTTTCCACAACTAGTCACATATCCTTGCTTTGGACTCTGTCGAGCCCTCACGTATCCGTAACATCAATTTTGATTTTTAAAAATCAGTCCGAAGTTAGTTTTTCCTGTTGGGTTGCCGGGAAAGTCATGATCTATTTTTTCATAGAAAAACAGAAAAATAAGTCCTGTCTTTCTCGACAGCCTGATACATGCAAGTAAAAGGACCTTGACCGACAGCCTGCCGGGCCGCTCTGATTCCTGATGGCCACGTGTGTTCACTGTCCGCAGAGTACCGCCTGGTCCTTATGAACCCTTCCTGCCATCTTGTGTAGTCTTTCAAAAAGGGATTCTAACCTAAGGGATCTAAAAGACGCTCCCTCACTTAATAGTGAGGATTATTCAGGCCCTGGAAAGGAGTGGGGGCGGTCCCTGTTAGAACTCCTGCCCCTGGGCCAGAGCCTTGTGCTTCCCGGGGCCCTCCCAAAGGATGAACACAGAACCACTTTTGGCAATTATAATAAACCTAGAAATAGAAGGCATTTTCAGTTAATGAGTAACTGATAAAAGCTGAAAATGGCAGGAGGGAGATCATTTTTAGAAAATTTGTAAATAGCACTTCTGTGGACTAGGCAGGGTTTCTGCCTTCTGCTGGAGTCAAAAGGTGGGGAGCAGAACCCTTCGAGGTTACAGCTTTGGGGGCCCCCACACGCAGCTACCTGCCAAAGCCCTGTATGGGGAGCACGGGCACGCTGCTTGGGCAGGACTGGGAATCAGAGTAGGGGAGATGGTTCTGTGAGGCCTGGACTGGTGGGCGCGGCCTTGAAGGACACCGAGGGAGCCAGTGCAGGCACCGCCCCTGAGGTATTCACGCGCGGGGAGAGGAGTATGCCTGCCTTAGTAATTTTACACAAGCAGGTGTTTGCCCGTCTTCCTTCCCAGGCCTGCTGTGTCAGAACTCACCTGGACTCACCTCCCCCCTGGCCTGAGGGTGCTGGTGCACCGGCCATGCCCAGGCACAGCGGCACCTGTGGGACTGCCCGGCCTGTTTGTGGCGGGTGGGCCAGGAGTCAGGGAAGAAGGGGGCTCAGCTGAGCTCGAGGGGAGCTGGAATTTATCAAGAAGTAAAGGATGGTGACAATTGTGGATCTCCCCAGCTTCAGATACCCAAGTGCCCTATCTTTACTGCGCCTTCGGGCACATCCCTCCATGACTCCAAGCTGGTCTATGCCTCCATCCCAGCAAGAATCCCGCATACCCTACAACTCATGAAGGGCCGGGGAGGGTCAGACTGGGCCACACCTGCCGGCACCAGGACCCCCTTCTGAAGAGACAGCTCTAAGTAGTGGGCCTCAGCCTCACTCGGGCCTTAGTTTTCCTCACTTGAAAGGAGGAGCCTTTGTTTCTTCTGATTACAGAACTCTTGGTCTAATAAATGTTCACCCTGGGCATTCCAGGCACTGTCCTGCAATGCGGGCCAGCAGCAGGGATGACAAGCTTCCAGGGCCCCAAGAGCTTGCATTCTGGGCAGGAGATAGACGTGGCATTCAAGTATTAACACGTGCTGGTGTTTCTGACTGAGTGGCCCGAGCCCGTGATCAACCCCTCTCCTCCCCGAGGTCCTACTGGAAGGAGCCCGGTGCTCCTGCTGGGCCCACAGCGAGAGCTGCTGCTGGGAGGTGCAGGCCCCGTGGCCCACGGAATCCCCCACCCCGGCCACTCGGCCCTCGCCCTCGCCCTTGCCCTCGTCCTCCCAGTGCAGACTGGTTGCTGCGGCATTCTGTTACTTGTGACAAAATTAGAAGTTGTGGCACTTACTCAGGTGTTGAGTGCCTGGTTGGCAACAAGGGACCAGTGTCGATGTCTGAGGCCACCTGGGTGGGTCTCTGAACAGGATAAAGCTTAGACGAGGTCACGGGATCGGCCTCAGCCCCATGCTCTCTGCAGAGCTTTGGGGCGTGTGAATTCTGAGGAAGCGGAAGCAGGAAGTCTGTGGAGTTGTTAGTGCCTGTGATAGGAGATCCCAGTCCTGGAAACCCAGGGAAGTGGCCGGTGGTAGTTACCAGCTGGACTGTAGACCGGTCATGGGCCAGCCTGTGGGGCTCACTTGACCCTTACGACAACTCCGTCAGGGGAGTACTTATTTTTCTCTTAGAGATGAGGAGACACCCTATGAAGTCAAGGCACTTCCCCAGGATCTCACAGCCAGGAACCGCCCCCCGCAGCACAGAGCCCTCTCACCCGCCTGCGCCAGCCAGCCGTCAGCCGTTGGTGACCAGGAGAGCAGGTGTCAGGTCTGAGGAAGACATAGGGGCTTGTGGCTTTAAAGTGTTAAAGGAGCAGGTGGTTGTCACTCTCTATCCCAGGTCTCAGGATCCCAGGGTGGCTCCTTACCTGTGGATTTCCAGTCCTAACTCCCAGCGTTTCTAATTGAGTACGACTGGGGTGGGCCCAAGAATTTGCATTCTGAATAAATCCCCAGCTCTGCTGCTGCTCTGGAGACCACACTTTGCGGATCTGCCTTAAAATCTTTCCTGTAAATTGAGAAGCGGTCGTTTTCATTCCGTGTATTGGGGATACCCAGGCTACACCGAAGTGTGGGTTGGAGACCTGTGCCTCGTGACTCCCATGGCACGTAATCCTCCATCAGTAAACACGCAGTGCTCGTCACGCCGACAACCTGAATGCCTCTCCTTTCTCTGTCCCTGGAAACCTAGGCAGGTCTGAGGCCACCAAGGTAACTCATGGCAGTGAGGCGTGGAGGAGGCCACGGCTTGTCCCAGGTCCGGTGTCTTTGCTGGGGACAGCACCCTGACAGCTTCCTCAGGGCTGTG